GGGAAGTTTCCCGGTTGGGATCTCTCCCCTCCGTGTGGAAAGAGCCCCGACCGAGGCCGCTGCATTTGGGATCGGCCCCATACGGAACTGTCCCCATGGAAAGGGGGCAAAAATAGGGGAAAAAATGTCCACTTTGGGATAAAAAATAGGAGAGCTCTGGAAATGGGAGAATTCCCAAAAATAGGAAGTTCCCAAAAACACGAAGTTCCCAAGCTTGTGGGATTTGAGAGTCAGGATTTGGGGATTGAGATATTTCTGGGATTCTTGGGGTGCCATTCCCGTATTCCCGGGGTGTCATTCCCATATTCCCGTTGGTGCCATTCCCATATTTCCAGGATTTCTGGGGTCCCATTCACATATTTCCATGGTGCCATTCCCATACTTCTGGAATTTCCAGGATTCCATTCCTGTTTTTCCAGGGTGCCATTCCCATATTCCCGTTGTTGACATTCCCACATTCCCATTGGTGCCGTTTCCATATTCCCATTGGTACCATTCCCATATTCCCGTTGGTGCCATTCCCATATTCCCATTGGTGCCATTCCCATATTTCCAGGATGCCATTCCCATATTTTCAGGGTGCTGTTCCCATATTCCCATTGGTGCCATTCCCCCATTCCCATTGATGCCATTCCCATATTTCCAGAATGTCATTCCCATATTCCCGAGGTCACATTCCTGTTTTTCCGGGGTGCCATTCCCATATTCCCGAGGTCACATTCCCATTTTTCCAGGTCCCATTCCCATATTCCCATTGATCCCATTCCCATATTCCCATTGGTACCATTCCCATATTCCCGAGGTCACATTCCTATTTTCCCGGCTGCCATTCCCGTTTTTCCAGAGTGCCATTCCTGTTTTTCCGGGTCACATTCCCGTTTTTCTGGCTGCCATTCCCGTTGTTCTGGGATGCCATTCCCGTTTTTCTGGCTGCCATTCCTGTTTTTCCAGATCACATTCCCGTTTTTCCAGGTCGCATTCCTGTATTCCCATTGGTGCCATTCCCATATTCCCGAGGTCACATTCCCATTTTTCCAGCTGCCATTCCCATTTTTCCGGGGTGCCATTCCCATTTTTCCAGCTGCCATTCCCGTTTTTCCAGCTGCCATTCCCGTTTTTCCGGGGTGCCATTCCCGTTTTTCCGGGTCACATTCCCGTTTTTCCAGCTGCCATTCCCATATTCCTGAGGTCACATTCCCGTTTTTCCAGCTGCCATTCCCGTTTTTCTGGGGTGGCATTCCCATATTTCCAAGGTGCCATTCCCGTTTTTCCAGGTCACATTCCCGTTTTTCTGGGGTGACATTCCCATTTTTCTGGGTCACATTCCCATTTTTCTGGGTCACATTCCCGTTTTTCCGGCTGCCATTCCCGTTTTTCCGGGTCACATTCCCATATTCCCGAGGTCACATTCCCATTTTTCCAGCTGCCATTCCCGTTTTTCCGGGGTGACATTCCCATATTCCCATTGGTACCATTCCCATATTCCCGAGGTCACATTCCCGTTTTTCTGGCTGCCATTCCCGTTTTTCCGGGGTGCCATTCCCACATTCCCGAGGTCACATTCCCGTTTTTCCGAGGTGCCATTCCCATATTCCTGAGGTCACATTCCTGTTTTTCCGGGTCACATTCCCATTTTTCCAGCTGCCATTCCCGTTTTTCCAGCTGCCATTCCCGTTTTTCGGGGTTGCATTCCCATATTCCCATTGGTGCCATTCCCATATTCCCGAGGTCACATTCCCATTTTTCCAGCTGCCATTCCCGTTTTTCCAAGGTGCCATTCCCATATTTCCCGAGGTCACATTCCCGTTTTTCCAGCTGCCATTCCCGTTTTTCCGGGTAGCATTCCCGTATTCCCATTGGTGCCATTCCCATATTCCCGAGGTCACATTCCCATTTTTCCGGCTGCCATTCCCGTTTTTCCGGCTGCCATTCCCACATTCCCATTGGTGCCATTCCCATATTCCCAAGGTCACATTCCCATTTTTCTGGCTGCCATTCCCATATTTCCGAGGTCACATTCCCATATTCCCGAGGTCACATTCCCGTTTTTCCAGCTGCCATTCCCGTTTTTCCGAGGTCACATTCCCGTTTTTCCGGCTGCCATTCCCGTTTTTCCGGCTGCCATTCCCATTTTTCCAGCTGCCATTCCCGTTTTTCCGCAGCGTTCCCGCCATGGCCGCCACGGCGCTGTCGCGGCGCCTCGGGAAGCGCTCCCTGCTCGGGACCCGCGTGGCCGTTCCTGACGGAATCCCGGCAAATTCCCGAATTCCCGACCCCGGATCCCAGGAGGGCGACGAGAGCGGAATTCCCAATCCCGGATTCCCAAATCCCGGAGTCCCCGATCCCGGATTCCCAAATCCCGAATTCCAGCGAATCCAGGGACAGCAGGTGCGGCCTGGGATTGGTGGGAGAAATTCCCAGAATTTTCCTGGTCCAAATGGAAATTCCAGAGATTTTCATGGTGGGAGAAATTCCTGGGTTTTTCCTGGAGGAGGAAATTTCCGGGATTTTCCTGGTTTAAAGGCAAACTCCCAGGATTTTCCTGTTGGGCAAAATTGCTGGGATTTTTCTGGGTGGGGGAAATTCCCGAGATTTTCTGGGTGGGGGAAATTCCCAGGGTTTTCCTGGTGAGCAAAGTTTCTGGGATTTTCCTGGTGGGGGAAATTTCCTTGGTTTTTCCAGATGGTGGAAATTCCCAGGATTTTCCTGGGGGGGGACAAATTCCGGGGATTTTCCCCGGGGGAAAAATGTCCAGGATTTTTGTGGTGAGGGAAATTCCCGGGATTTTCCTGGTTGGGGGAAATTCCCGGGATTTTCCTGGTTTAAAGGGAAATTCCCAGGATTTTCCTGTTGGGCAAAATTGCTGGGATTTTTCTGGGTGGGGGAAATTCCCAGAATTCTCCTGGTTGTCGGGAATTCCTGGGATTTACTGGGTGGGGGGAAATTCTTGGGGTTTTCCTGGTGGGGGAAATTCCAGAGATTTTCATGGTTGGGGGAAATTTCCAGGATTTTCCTGGTGGGGGAAATTCCCGTGATTTTCCTGGTCCAAAGGGAAATTCCTGGAATTTTCCTGGTGAGCAAAGTTTCCGGGATTTTCCTGGTGGGGGAAAATTCCCGAAATTTTCTGGGTGGGGGAAATTTCCTTGGTTTTTCTGGATGGTGGAAATTCCCGAGATTTTCCTGGTGGGGGACAAATTCCAGGGATTTTCCCCGGGGGAAAAATTTCCAGGATTTTTGTGGTGAGGGAAATTCCCGGGATTTTCCTGGTGGAGGAAATTTCTGGGATTTTCCTGGTTTAAAGGGAAATTCCTGGGATTTTCCTGTTGGGCAAAATTGCCGGGATTTTTCTGGGTGGGGGAAATTCCTGGGATTTTTTCTGGGTGGTGGAAATTCCTGGAATTCTCCTGGTTGTCGGGAATTCCTGGGATTTTCCTGGTGGGGGAAATTTCCTTGGTTTTTCCGGATGGTGGAAATTCCTGAGATTTTCCTGGTGGGGGACAAATTCCTGGGATTTTCCCCAGGGGAAAAATTTCCAGGATTTTTGTGGTGAGGGAAATTCCTGGGATTTTCCTGGTTGGGGGAAATTCCTGGGATTTTCCTGGTTGGGGGGAATTCCCGGGTTTTTCCTGGAGGAGGAAATTCCCAGGGTTTTCCTGTTGGGCAAAATTGCCGGGATTTTTCTGGATGGGGGAAATTTCCGGGATTTTTCTGGGTGGTGGAAATTCCCGGAATTCTCCTGGTTGTCGGGAATTCCTGGGATTTTCCTGGTGGGGGAAGATTCCTTGGTTTTTCCGGATGGTGGAAATTCCCGGGATTTTCCTGGGTGGGGGAAATTCCTGGGGTTTTCCTGGTGAGCAAAGTTTCCGGGATTTTCCTGGTGGGGGAAATTCTCAAGATTTTCCGGATGGTGGAATTTCCCAGGATTTTCCTGGGTGGGGGAGAAATTCCTGGGATTTTCCCAGGGGAAAAATTTCCAGGATTTTTGTGGTGAGGGAAATTCCCGGGATTTTCCTGGTTGGGGGAAATTCCCGGGATTTTCCTGGTTGGGGGAAATTCCTGGGTTTTTCCTGGAGGAGGAAATTTCTGGGATTTTCCTGGTTTAAAGGGAAATTCCCAGGATTTTCCTGTTGGGCAAAATTGCCGGGATTTTTCTGGGTGGGGGAAATTCCTGGGATTTTTCTGGGTGGTGGAAATTCCCGGAATTCTCCTGGTTGTCGGGAATTCCTGGGATTTACTGGGTAGGGGGAAATTCTTGGGATTTTCCTGGTGGGGGAAAATTCCCGAAATTTTCTGGGTGGGGGAAATTTCCCTGGTTTTTCCAGATGGTAGAAATTCCCAGGATTTTCCTGGTGGGGGACAAATTCCGGGGATTTTCCCCAGAGGGAAAAATTTCCAGGATTTTTGTGGTGAGGGAAATTCCCGGGATTTTCATGGTTGGGGGAAATTTCCAGGATTTTCCTGGTGGGGAAAATTCCTGGGATTTTCCTGGTCCAAAGGGAAATTCCTGGGATTTTCCTGGTGAGGAATGGATGGAATCCATGGGATGGAATTTGGGATGGGATATTTTGGGATGGGATGGAGGATGGGATCCATGGGATGGGATTTGGGATCCATGGGATTTGGGATCCATGGGATTTGGGATTTGGGATCCATGGGATTGGAGATGGGGTTTGGAATGGGATCCATGGGATTTGGGATGGGATGGGATCCATAGGATGGGATTGGGATATAGGATTGGGATGGGATCCATGGGATTTGGGAAAGGATTTGGGATGGGATGGGATATTTTGGAATGGGATTTGGGATGGGATTGGGATGGGATTTGGGATGGGATGGGATCAATGGGATGGGATGGGATCCATGGGATGGGATGGGATTTGGGATAAGATCCATGGGATGGGATTTGGGATCCATGAGATTTGGGATCCATGGGATTTGGGATGGGATATTTTGGGATGGGATGGAGGATGGGATCCATGGGATGGGATTTGGGATCCATGGGATTTGGGAAGGGATTTGGGATGGGATGGGATATTTTGGAATGGGATTTGGGATGGGAATGGGATTTGGGATGGGATCAATGGGATGGGATTTGGGATGAGATCCATGGGATGGGATTGGAATACAGGATTGAGGTGGGATCCATGGGATTTGGAATGAGATGGGATTTGGGATGAACCCTGACCACTCCCACGGATCCCAAAATCCAAAGCTTTTGGCACAGAATCCATGGGAAAATGAGGATGGGGGACCCCGCGCTGCTCCCATGGGATTGGGAGGTTCGGGAATTCCCTGGATTTGGGATTTGGGATTGATTTGGGATTGCTGGAGATGGGGAGAGCTGATCTTTTGGGATGAAATGGGATTTGGGATGGGATGGAGCAGGACTGGGATTGGGATGGATGGGATGGGATTTGGGATGGGATTTGGAATGGGATGGGATTGGAATACAGGATTGGGATGGGATCCATGGGATTTGGAATGGGATTTTGGATGGGATCCATGGGATGGGATGGGGTGGGGATGGGATCCAAGGATTTGGGATTGGGATCCATGAGATGGGATGGGATCCATGGGATTTGGGATTTGGGATGGGGTAAACCCAGGTCATTCCCAAAATCCTTGGTAAAAAATGGATTGGAGACCCCGCGCTGCTCCCCGGGATTGGGAATTCCCTGGATTTGGGATTTGGGATTGATTTGGGATTGCTGGAGATGGGGAGAGCTGATCTTTTGGGATGAAATGGGGTGGGATGGGATCCATGGGATGGGATTTGGGATTGGAATCCATGGGATGGGATGGGATTTGGAATAGGATTTGGGATTTGGGGTGGGATCCATGGGATTTGGGATTTGGGATGGGGTGGGATTGGAATACAGGATTAGGATTGGGATGGGATCCATGGGATCTATGGGATTTGGGATGGGATTTAGGATTTGGGATGAGATCCATGGGATGAGATGGGATTTGGGATAGAATCCATGGGATGGGATCCATGGGATTTGGGATGGGATTTGGGATTGGGATCCATGGGATGGGATTTGGGATGGGATTGATGGATTTGGGATGGGATCCATGGGATTTGGGATTTGGAATGGGGTGAACCCTGCCCAACCCCAAATCCCTGATAAAACCCGGACTGCGGACCCCGTGCCGCTCCCGGGATTGGCTCTGGCGGCCAATCCCAAAATTCCTCTCCCGCCATTGCAGGTCCCGATCCCCTCTGTGGGGCCGCATTGGGATCACTCCATTCCCGATCCCGGAAATCCCGATCCCGGAAATCCCGGTGATCCTGATCCCGATCCGGTCCGGGCACTGCGCCGATCCGTGTCCAGCAGCATCGACGTTCCCGGCAGGTTCGTGCTTTTCCGGGGTGATTCCCATTGGGAATTCCCGGGATTTCTCCACATTCCGAGGGATTATCCCAAAGGGGTCACATTTAGGATTTTTTCGGGATTTTTTGGGATTTTTTGGGGGGATTTTTTTGGGTTTTTTTCCATCCCTGTTTTTCTTTAAAAAATGGGATTTCTGGGGTTTTTCTCTTCTTTTCCCTCGGTTTTTCCTGGAGTGATCCCCACCAAGAATTCCAGGGATTTTTCCACATTCCCAGGGATTATCCCAAAGGGGTCACATTTACGATTTTTTTGGGGATTTTTTAGGATTTTTTTCCCATCCCATTTTTCCTTAGAAAGGGAACTTGGGAGTTTCTCTGGATTTTTCTCTGCTTCTCCCTCCTCTTTTCTGGGGTGATTCCCATTGGGAATTCCCGGGATTTCTCCACATTCCCAGGGATTATCCCAAAGGGGTCACATTTGGGATTTTTTGGGGATTTTTTGGGATTTTTTGGGATTTTTCAGGATTTTTTTTTTTATTTTCCCCTTCCTGTTTTTCCTTAAATAACAAGATTTCTCCTCTTTTCCTGGGATGTTTCCAATTGGGAATTCCCGGGATTTCTCCACATTCCTGGGGATTATCCCAAGAGGGTCACATTTGGGATTTTTGGGGATTTTTTGGGATTTTTCAGGATTTTTTTTGGGATTTTTCCCCTTCCCGTTTTTCCTTAAATAACTGGATTTCTGGGATTTTTCTCTTCTTTTCCCTCGTTTTTTCCTGGAGTGATCCCCACCAAGAATTCCAGGGATTTTTCCACATTCCCAGGGATTATCCCAAAGGGGTCACATTTACGATTTTTTGGGGGATTTTTTGGGATTTTCTCAGGGATTATCCCACAAGTGGTCAATTTTGGGATTTTTTTTGGGTTTCCCCACTGTTTTCCCATGTGTGGTTAATTTTGGGATTTTTTCAGGATTTTCCTGCTGAATTCCCACTGTTTTCCTGTTTCCTGCCTGCGGGTGGTTAATTTTGGGACTTTTCTGGGATTTTCTCACTGTTTTCCTGCAAGTGGTTAATTTTGGGATTTTTTCAGGATTTTCCCACTGTTTTCCCATGGGTGGTTAGTTTTGGGATTTTTTTCGGGATTTTCCCACTGAATTCCCACTGGTGGTTAATTTTGGGGTTTTTTCGGGATTTTCTCGCTATTTTCCCATGGGCGGTTAATTTTGGGGATTTTTTTTGGGATTTTCCCGTTGAATTCCCGTTGTTTTCCCGTGGGTGGTTAATTTTGGGATTTTTCAGGATTTTCTCAGGGATTATCCCACAAGTGATCAATTTTGGGATTTTTTTGGGATTTTCCCACTGAATTCCCACTGTTTTCCTGTTTCCTGCATGCAGGTGGTTAATTTTGGGATCTTTTCGGGATTTTCCTGCTGAATTCCCGCTGGTGGTTAATTTTGGGGTTTTTTTTTTATTTTCTTGTTGTTTTCCCGTGGGTGGTTAATTTGGGGATTTTTTTCGGGATTTTCCCGATGCAATCCCGCTGTTTTCCCGTGGGCGGTCACATTTGGGTTTTTTTCGGGATTTTCCCACTGATTATCCCACAGTGGTTAATTTGGGGATTTTTTTGGGATTTTCCCGCTGTTTTCCCGCAGGTGGTTAATTTTAGGATTTTTTGGGATTTTCCCATTGGTGGTTAATTTTGGGTTTTTTTCGGTATTTTCTCACTGTTTTCCCGTGGGCGGTCAATTTTGGGATTTTTTTTAGGATTTTCCTGGTGAATTCCCACTGTTTTCCCGTTGATTATCCCACAGTAGTTAATTTTAGGATTTTTTGGGGATTTTCTGGCTGAATTCCTGCTGTTTTCCCGTGGGCGGTCAATTTTGGGATTTTTTGGGATTTTCCGGCTGAATTCCCGCTGTTTTCCCATTTCCTGCCCATGGGTGGTTAATTTTGGGATTTTTTTGGGATTTTCCCGGTGAATTCCTGTTGTTTTCCCACAGCAGTTAATTTTAGGATTTTTTTTGGATTTTCCCATTGAATTCCTGTTGTTTTCCCGTTCCCGCAGGCGCTCCGCGGCCCCGCTGGACGTGGACGAGATGGTGGCGGCGCTGGTGCTGACGAGCCTCTCCTGCAGCCCCGCCGTGCGCAGCCCCCGTGAGTCAAATCCCAAAAAAATCCCCAAAAAATATCCCAAAAAAATCCCGGAGAAATCCCAAAAAAATCCAAGAAGAATCCCAAAAAATATCCCCAAAAAATTATGGAGAAGTCCCACAAAAAATCTCAAAAAAATACCCAAAAAATCCCTGAGAAATCAAAAAATATCCCCCAAAAAATCCCAGAAAACATTCCAAAATCCCAAAAAAATCCCCCCCAAAAAATCCCAGAGAAATCCCAAAATCCCTCCAAAAATCCCGGAGAAATCCCAAAAAAAATCCCAAAAAAATATGCTGGAGAAATCACAAAATCCAAAAAAAAATCCCAAAAAATATCCCGGAGAAATCCCCAAAAATATCTCAGAGAAATCCCAAAAAATCTTGGAGAAATTTTGGCATTTCCCAAAAAAACTTGGAAAGCTTCTCAGGATAAACCCCAAAAACTGGGAGAACTTCTCGGAATAAACCCCAAATAAATTTGGAGAACTTCTTGGGATTTCCTGAAAAACCTTGGAGAACTTTTCGGGATAAAACCAAAAATCGGGAGAACTTTTTGGGATCAACCCCAAAAACTGGGAGAGCTTTTTGGGATAAACCCCCAAAAATTTGGAGAGCTGAAAACTGAAAAATTCTCCAAGTTTTTTGGGGTTGATCCCATAAAGCTCTCGGTTTTGGGGTTGATCCCATAAAGCTCTCGGTTTTTGGGGTTGATCCCATAAATCTCTGTGTTTTTGGGGTTTATCCCATAAATCTCTCGGTTTTTGGGGTTGATCCCATAAAGCTCTTGATTTTTGGGGTAGATCCCATAAAGCTCCTGGTTTTGGGGTTGATCCCATAAAACTCCCAGTTTTTGGGGTTGATCCCATAAAGCTCTCATTTTTTGGGGTTGATCCCATAAAGCTCTCGGTTTTTGGGGTTGATCCCATAAAACTCTTGTTTTTTGGGGTTGATCCCATAAAACTCTCATTTTTTGGGGTTGATCCCATAAAGCTCTCGATTTTTGGGGTCGATCCCATAAAGCTCCTGGGTTTTTGGGGTTGATCCCATAAAGCTCTCGGTTTTTGGGGTTGATCCCATAAAGCTCTGGGTTTTTGGGGTCTATCCCATAAAGCTCCTGGTTTTGGGGTCGATCCCTTAAAGCTCTCGGTTTTTGGGGTTGATACCATAAAGCTCTCGATTTTTGGGGTCGATCCCATAAAGCTCCTGGGTTTTTGGGGTTGGTCCCATAGAGCTCCGCGATTTTGGGGTTGATCCCATAGAGCTCTCGGTTTTTGGGGTTGATCCCATAAAGCTCTCGGTTTTTGGGGTCGATCCCATAAAGCTCCTGGTTTTGGGGTTGATCCCATAAAACTCCCAGTTTTTGGGGTCTATCCCATAAATCTTTGTGTTTTTGGGGTCTATCCCATAAAGTTCCTGGTTTTGGGGTCGATCCCTTAAAGCTCTCGATTTTTGGGGTTGATTCCCTAAAGCTCTTGATTTTTGGGGTTGATCCCATAAAGCTCCTGGGTTTTTGGGGTTGATCCCATAAAGCTCTCGATTTTTTGGGTCGATCCCATAAAGCTCCTGGGTTTTTGGGGTTGATCCCATAAAGCTCTCGATTTTTGGGGTTGATCCCATAAAGCTCTGGGTTTTTCGGGTCTATCCCATAAATCTCTCGGTTTTTGGGGTTGATCCCATAAAGCTCTCGATTTTTGGGGTTGATCCCATAAAGCTCTCAGTTTTTGGGGTCGATCCCATAAATCTCTCGGGTTTTGGGGTTGACCCCGTTGTTTTCCCGCAGCGTGGCCGGACGGGGACCCCTGGAAGGACGGGGACGTTTCGGACGGGGGCAGCAGCACCGGCAGTGCCAGCAGCGGCCACTGGAGCGGGGGCAGCGCCACGGGCAGCCCCAAAAACTGTGGGGTCAGCCCCAAAAATTGTGGGGTCAGCACTGAACACTGTGGGGTGCGCCCTGAAAATTGTGGGGTCAGCCCTAAAAACAGTGGGGTCGGCGCCAGGGGCAGCCCCAAGCACTGTGGGGTCAGCCCTAAACATTATGGGGTCAACCCCAAACACTGTGGGGTCAGCCCCACACATTGTGGGAGCAGCCCTAAACATTGTGGGGTCAGTCCTGAACCTTTTGGGGTTGGCCCTGAACCTTTTGGGGTCAGCCCCACATGGTCTGGGATCAACCCTAAACACTGTGGGGTCAGCCCCGAACATTGTGGGGTCAGCCCCACACATTGTGGGATCAGCCCTGAACCTCTTGGGGTCAGCCCCGAACTTTCCGGGGTCAGCCCCGAACATTGTGGGGGCAGCCCCACACACTGTGGGATCAGCCCCGAATCTTTTGGGGTCAGCCCCGAAGCTTTTGGGGTCAGCCCGTCCCCACCCCACGGCTCCGTCAGCCCCAACCCCAAAAGTTTGGGGGCTCCGGGAGCGGCCGATGAGGGATTCGAGACCGACCCCGAACCCCG